AGAGCGCCGATTTAGAATACGAGTCAACTAACGTTTCACAAACTTTCACTAATGATTCGTAAACATTCAAACAGCCATTGATAACAATTCAGCATTAAATCTAAAACAATTGGTCACATACTGGCATTCTAATCAATCCATGACTCGTTTTCAATCGTTAAGTAAAGTTAAGTAACCATCAACGGAAAAAGTGTCCCGTCTCAAAGTAATATACTAATCCATTAATGGTTGACGGACTTTTTCTTTCCGTGTATAATAATAATTGAAATTTCTTTACATTCTTATTAAAAATAATTAAATTCTTTTAAAGAATTTTATTTAAATTTTTCGAAATTAATCAAGGGAAGTTAGTCACCGTAATTTTAATTTTATTTTTAAAAATTTCTTCGCAATATATTCAATTATTTTCATAAATAGTAAAACTCATTGAAGAATTTCAATTATTTTTAACAGAATTTTAATCGAATTCCTCGAAAAATGTAATTATTTTTTAAAATTTTATATTAAAATTCGTCGAAAGAATTCAATTATTTCTAGAAACTGTAAAAAAAATTCTTCTCAAGAATTAAATTATTTCCATAAATGGGAAAATTCTTCAGATTTACTAAATTCTTTTGAATATTATTTTTAGAAAAAATTCTTCACAAGAATTCAATTATTTTCATAAATTTCCATAAAATTATAAAAAACAATTTAATTATTTTCAAAAGTAATACAATTCTTCGCAAAAATTCAATTATGTTTAAAAATTTTTTTAAATTCACCTTAAAGTTTCAATTATCTTTATAAATAATTAAATTGTTCTCCACAATTGAATTATTTTCAAAAATCTTAATAAAATTCTACGCAAAAATTTTATTATTTTCATAAATAATAACATTCTTTGGAAGGATTCAATTACTTTTATAAATTGTAAAATTCTTTGCAAAAATTCAATTAGTATCAATACATTTTAATACAATTGAATTAATCAAATTTTTAATTATAATTATGAACACACAAGATTATTTTAAAAAATTGAAAAAATTCTTTGCTTAATTTAATTATTTTCCAAATTTTTAATTAAAATTACCTATTAAAAAAAATATTATTTTCAAAAAATTTAAAGAAACTCGTCAAAAGAATTTAATTATATTCATAAAAACTCTAATAAAAATTTTTGAAGTCATTAGTAAATTTATTTATGTTCGAAATCAAATAAAGTTAAATTTGTTGAGAAAAAAAACCGTGAAAAATTATTCTATTTATTTATTTCCCCTAAAATCTTTTAGTTTTTAGGTAAAATTTTATTTATTTTTAATTTTTTTTAACGTATAGAACAACTATGATAAACTTATTGTTCACTCATCAAATATATTATCGACTTTGTACCGCTGCATTATAATAAATGTGTCATGCTGTTTACATTTACCTCAAAACTATGATAAAATCAATATTTCTCTAATAATTTAAAAAAAAAAATTTTTTTTACCAAAAAATTTTAACTGGAGAAAAGCTTTTAGAGATTCATATATTTATTAAACTACTATAAAGTATTCTAGAAAATTTTATTTCAATTGCCTTAACTGTCGAAGAAATATAATTGATTAACTATTTTCATGTAAAGCGTGGGAGTTTAGAATTTAGCGTTCATTGAGAGTAAGTGTTCGAACAATAAGTCATTCATATTACTCTAATATCAATTTTTGGTGTTAGAAATAAAATATTATTCCATGTGGTCCAAAATCAAATTTTTGAAATAATTCCAATGATGTAATTTATAATATTTACTCAATGTATATTTATTTCATTCAGTGTTGATAGATGAATGGTTTTATTTATTTAATGCTAAAATTTTTTAATTAATTAATTAATCAATTAATGGTCCCTAAAATAAAGAATAAGTAACAATTTTCCGGATTTGCAAAAATATCCAAACAATTTGTTTTTTCATTAATTTTATAATTTTTGAAAAAAATCTTTTTTTTGTATTTTTGAAATAACTTTTTTCTTTTATAGAAATTTAAATATATTAATTCTGGTCAAAATTATATTCTTGGCACAAAAAAAATCTATTAATGTATATAAAGTATACATTTTATCAATACTTATAAAATTAATCACTATTTTTATTTTTAACGAAAAATTCAAATTGTGTATTTTTTCAAAACCTATCTTTGAAATAGTTATTCTACAATAAAAAATAAAACGATTGGCATATAAAATTTTAAATTTCACCATTGATTCGAAAACAGTTTAAAAATTATATTTATGTCATGTACAGTTTTTGCTTTTTAAAGAAGAAATTTGTTTATTATTATGAGGAAGCAAAATGATCATGAAATGAACAACTTGTTTTGATTTATTGTCTTGCATGCGTCATTTTCACTAAATCGTTTTCTAATTTTCTGTCAAAAAATAACAGCTGAAATTTCGAAACCAATTTGTCATTAAGGTTATTCCAACTATTTTTCATTGAAAAGTTAATTGAAATTTTTAGTTACATATTTTCATTTCGCTGTAAATAAAATATATTTTCATAAATGACAAAAATGAAAACCTTTTTTCTTCAAAGGATACTTGATTTAATGGAAAGATTAATTGTTATTAGAATATAAACTCTGATAGAATATGAGAATTAAAAAAAATAATAAAAATATATTTTAAAAAATGTATCTTATTTAATTGAATCATTAAAAAATGTCGGATTAGTTAACATCAATGTACCTTCTTCAAAATTAATCTAATCTTCTTGCGTGAGATTAGAATCAAAATATAGTTTAGAGCTACATATTGAAAATACTTCAAACTATGTGAAACAATTTTTAATTATTGACATTTAATAATAATTATATTTAAAAATTATTAATATTTTTAAAAATTTAAAAACATTTAAATATAAAACCGGTTAAAATTCAAAAAAAAATTTGATAAATTAGAAATTCTTTCATAATTATTAAAAATCATAAAAAATGATTTTAAAAACTTTAAAAATAATAGATTGCAAGGTATATATTATACAAAAATTGAGTGTCTTTTAAAAATTTATTCATTTATATATTTCAACTGAAAAACTTAAATTTTTTTAAAATATTTAAAAAAACGATATAAAAACTATTTCAAAATTTAATTGTGTTTATTTCATGAACACTGTTTTCTCAAGAAAATTCTCATTTTATGATTATTATAAACTGCATTTTTTCCATACATTATAATAAATCAAAACCAAAAAAGTTACTTTTCACACATCTCTTTAACGAAATTTAAGAACTTTTAATTTTTTGGCAAAACGCTGATTTTCTTACAGGTGAATTTAAATTGTATCAACACCTCGAAAATCGGTCAAATTTTCTCAAAAAAATCAAAGTTGGTCATGGGTTTTTCAATTTTTTTGAAACTTGATATAAATGTAGTGTTTTATGACAGAAGATTTTAGGATAAAAAGATTTTAAAAAATTTTCAAAATTGTGAATTTTACCGGGCATCAAACATTAAAGTACATTAAAAAAACGAATAACTTTTATACATTTAGTTAGATTTTGATTATATTTTGGGTAATAATAACTGATTTTCTAATAGTTTAAAGTGCAATATTAAAAATTTATTATGCTCGAAAAAATGAAATCAAATTTTTTTTTCCGGGCAAATTTTGGATTTTTTATTTCTTAATATTGCACTTTTAGGCCTCGGATATTATATAACATTTTCGACTTTTTTCGACTATTTTCAAAAAATGCGACTTCTTTCGACTTATTTTCAAAAATCACGACTTTTTCGACTTTTTTTCAAATATAGAAATAATTTTTAGTATAAAATGAAACTTATTTCGATTTTTATATATAGTGTGAAAAATAACTATAGACAAATCTTCAAAAAATATTTTTTAATGTTCTCGAATTAAAATTTCGAAATTTACAATTGAAAAAGAGTGTCAATAAATATTGAAATTTTTTCAAATTTTATAATTGAAAATAATCAATTTTTTAAAGTGTTTTATACAAATTTTTGAAAATTAACTTTTGAAGAATTTTAATTGCAAATTTTGAGAATAATTGAAATTGAATTCCTCGGAAGAATTTAATTTTTATAAAAAATTTTAATATATTTCTATAAAATTCAATTATTTCCTAAAATTTTAATAATTTCTTCGAAACAAATCAACTATTTTTATAAATATTAAATACTAAATAAATTTTAAAAATTTACAATAAAAAAAGAGTTTCAATAATTGAAATTTTGTAAAATTTAATTGAAACTAATTGATTTTTTTCAAAGTGTTTGATAAAAATTTTTGAAAATAAACTTTAAAAGAATTTGAATTGTAAATTTTGAAAATAATTGATTTCTCAAAAATGTTAATAAAAAATCTTCAAGTGTAAATTTAAAAATGGTAATTAATAAAAATTAGCTACAAAAAAATTATATTAAAATATTTTTGAAAAAAATATATCTTAGAATTTTTGCATTCTAATTTTTTAAAATTCAATTATTTTCAATTATTTTCAAATACAAATTTCCAAAAATTCAAATACATACAAAAATAATAACATTAAAATTTTTTACAATTACTTTTAACATTTTAACAACAATTATTATTACCCAAAATATAAACATAATCTAACTAAATGGACAAAAGTAATAACTTTTTCAAAAAAATGTACTTTAATGTTTGATGTCTGGTAAAATCTACAATTTTGAAAATTTTTAAAAATCTTTTTTTCATAAAATCTTCTGTCATAAAACACTTCATTTATATCATAAGTTTCACAAAAATTGAAAGACTCATGACCAGCTTTGATTTTTTTGAGAAAATTTGACCCAGATGCAAAATTTGCTGGCACAGCAAAACTGCACGAGGGAAAAAAATTAATACTATGATTTTTTTTTATTTAAAAAATACCCCACTAATCGATACAAAAAGATTTTGTTCGATTGTCAATTTCACTGTTAACAGGTGTAATTAATGATTTGGAATCTTGAATTATTATTACAATGTTAAAGAATGTTAAATTTTATTTTAGGTGGATTAAGTTTATCATCATAGGTTAGTATGTCACACCACAGCGATGATAACATGCTAATAGCATCAACAGATTCCTTCTGGGAACCTGGGAATTATAAGCGTACCACTAAAAGAATTGAGGACGGTCATAAACTTTGTGACAGTCTCATCCAACTTGTGCAAGAGAGATCAGAAATAGAGAAGAATTATGCAAAGGCTCTAAAAAGTTGGTCAAAAAATTGGAATGATAAAATCGAAAAAGGACCTGAATATGGTACAACTGAAGCTGCATGGAAAGGGGTTTTGGTTGAATCTGATAGATTATGCGACCTACACCTAAAAGTCAAAGAAAATCTCTGCAACGACATAATACAGCAAGTGAAAACTTGGCAAAAAGATGCCTATCATAAGGTTAGAGATAAGAAATTTTCTTTATATCTATTTTAACTTAAACTAGCCATACAGTTTTTTATAGGGTTGCCACGCAACCTGGAAACCTGGAAAACCTGGAAATTTCAGGGAATTTTATAAACCTTAAAAAAACTTGGAAAAGTCAGGGAATTTTGATCGAAATCCTAGAAAATTGTTGTTTTCTAAAGTTATTCTTAAAATATAATTTTACTTAAATATTTCAAAATTCATTCAATTTTAAATGAATTTAATTAGAAATTTTAAAAAATTTTAATAACTAAAATTCTTCTGAAATTAGTTAAATTTTGTAATATATATTTAATTGATTATTAAAAATAATGGATTTATAGAAGAATTTTAGTTAAAAACACTCAAACAAATTGAATTTTGAAGCAATTACAAATAATTGCAAAAATTCAATTATTTTCAAAAATTTTAATAAAATTCTTGGTAAAATTTTAATTATTTTCAAATCAAAAACTTTTCTTAATTCAATGATTTTTAATATCTATACTACTTTAATAAAAATTCCCAAAAGAATTCAATTAGTTAAAAAAAATTTGTATAAAATTCTACGTAAACATTTCACTCTTTTCATAAATAATAAAAATTTCACAGGAAATTAATTATTTTCATAAATAATAAAATTTATCGTAGTCTTTTAATTATTTTTAATACAATTTTAATGGAATTCCTTGAAAAATGTAATTATTCTTAAAAATTTTATTAAAATTTATCAAAGAAATTTAATTATTATAAAAACCTTTGCTACAATTCATTTATTTTAATTTAAGTCTTATTTTCAATACATTTTTAAGTAAATTTCTTCAAAAAATTTAATTATTTTCAAAAATTTTAATGAAATTCTTTGTAAAAATTTTTTGAAAAATAATTTTAATAAAATTCTCTGTAGAAATTTAATTAATTTCAAAAATTTGTCAAAATTCAATTATTTTCAAAGTCTATTATTTCAATAAAATTTTACAAAATAATTCAATTATTTAAAAATGAAATTTTAATAAAATTCGTCTCAAGAATTGAATTATTTTCAAAAGTATTAAAAATTTTTCGCAGAAATTAAATTATGTTAAAAAAATTTTAAAAATTGTCGTCAAAACTTCAATTATCTTTAGAAATAATTAAATTCTTCTCCAAAATTTTAATACAATTCTTCTATTTTCATAAATAATGAAATTTTTACAGGGATTCAATTATTTTCGTAAATAATAAAATTCTTTCTAGAAATTCAATTATTTTCGTAAATAATAAAACTCATTGCAGAATTTCAATTATTTTGAAAACAATTTTACGGAAATTGATCAAAAAATGTAATTATTCTTAAAAATTTTGTTAAAATTCATCAAAAGAATTCAATTATTTAAAAATTTATTGATAAAATTCTTTATGGGAATTCAATTTTAAGAAACATGCAATTATTCAATAAATTGTTTTTTTAATTTAAATAATTGAATTCTCGTAAAATTTTCATATAAAAATTTATTTAAAAATTAATTTCAGTTAAAATTTTAGATTATAATTGAATATTAAAAGCATTAGAGCGTGCATTTTTAGAAATAATTGAATTTTTAAAACGTTTTAAATTAAAATCTTTGAAAATTTGTACATTTAATACTTTTAATTAAGAATTCTGTAGAATTAATTTTTTTAAAAGTTTAATGGAATTTTTTTAATTTATTTGAAGTTTTTAATTTCTAATATATTTAATTGAAGAATGTCAGAATTATCAAAATTTCGAAAAATTAAATTTTCAACAAAAGGATTTGAAAATTCTCAAAGAACTTTTTTTAAAAATTATTTTTAAAAAATTGATTTGAAGAAGAATTTCAGTTAAAATTTCTAGAAATTAATAATTGAATCAAAATGATGTAATAATTTTTTATAAGTTATTGAATTTCCAATTTTTGAAAATCTTAATTTCTATATGAAAAAATAATAATGATTAAATAATTATTTAAAGATGAAGTTATTGATGTTTTCGAATAATTTTCCAATTAAAGAAATTCGTAAATAAATGCAATAGGACATTTTTTTGTAAATCTAATCATTTTGCGAGTGAATAAGAATATTCTTTAGAGTCAGGGAAAAAAAGCGTGGCAACCCTGCTGTTAATTTTATTCATTCTTATAATATGCATGTAAATCGAATAGGTTTTTATTTAATTGTAAAAAAATGAATATTTTATTTACAGTCGGTGATGACATTGAAAGAACGAAAGGAAATGGAGGATGCTTTTAAGAAAGCACAAAAACCGTGGGGAAAAATTTTGCAAAAAGTGGAGAAAACTAAGGCTGAGTATCATAATAGTTGCAAAATTGAACGTACTGCAACGAATGTTGAAAGAAATGCGTCTGCTGATAGTTCACTCTCACCAGACCAGGTAATAATTTTTAATTCATTCAATAGTTTCTTTCTAATATTTCACATAATTTTTCAATTTTTCAATTTTTTTATTTTTTATATTTTTCTTTTCAAAAATCAGTCCTAGTATCTTTATTAACCGATCAAAGGATATTATATTTTTCCTCGATTTCTCAAATTTCTTTAAAAATATTTATTAACAGGTAAAGAAGATGCAAGACAGAGTGCAAAAAACAAAGGGTGAAGTACAGAATGCTAAGGAAAAATACGAAGCAGCTCTTCAAGAAATAAATTCTTATAATCCAAAGTACATGGAGGATATGACTCAAGTCTTTGAGAAATGTCAAGAAATGGAAGCTCAAAGACTTCAATTTTTCAAAGACGTACTCTTTGGAATTCACAAGTGTTTGAATATTTCACAGGATCCAGTGTAAGTTTTTTCTAATTTAATATATACTCCTATGAATATTTTCCCCAATGGCAGGGCTCCAAATAGGTCCGTAAATTTGCTTAAAGTCCGTAAAATTCATTTTTATTTTGCAAAAAGGTCCATAAAATCCGTAATTTGATTGAGAAAAGGACGAAAAGTTCGTAAATTGTACGATATAATTTGGAGAATTTTAGAAAAACATTACAAATGATTACAAAAATTCAATTATTTTCAAAAGTAATGAAATTCTTCACAAAAATTCAATTATGTTCAAAAAATTTTAAAAAAATCTCGTCAAAATTTTAATTATTTTTAGAAATAATTAAATTCTTCTCCAAAATTCAATTATTTTCTAAAATTTTAATAAAATGCTTGACAAAATTCCAATTATTCCTAAAAATTTTGTGTCAATTCAATGATTTTAAATATCTACTGTTTTAATAAAATTTTCCAAAAGAATTCAATTATTTAAAAAAAATTATGTAATTTTCGTCGTAAGAATTCAAGTGTTTTCGAAAATTTTAATAAAATTCGTTGCAAGAATTAAATTATTTTTAAACTTTTTAATATAATTCCTCGTATCAATTCAATAATTTAAAAAAAATTTTGATAAAATTCCCGGAAAAATTTCAATTATTTTCAAAAAATTTCCTCAATTACATGATTTTTAATATCAAGTATTATAATAACATTTAATTACTTATTTTCATAAAATAATAAAAATTTCACAAGAATTTATGTATTTACAAATTTTTTTTATAAATTTTTTCGTAATCTTTCAATTATTTTCATAAATAATATAAAATTTTTACAGGGATTTAATTTTATTCGTAAATATAAAATTCTTATAAGGAATTGAATTATTTTCATAAACAATAAAATTTTCACAAGAAATTAACTTTTTTCAAACACAATTTTCATAAAATTTTTCGAAAAAAATCAATTTCATATTTAAAATGATTTTTATAAAATTCTTCGCTAGAATTCAATTATTTAAAGAAATTTGTTAAATTAGTAAAGTTCTTCGTAAGAATTTAATTGTTTTTTAAAATTTTAATAAAATTCGTTGCAAGAATTCAATTATTTTTAAAATTTTTAATATAATTCGTCGTATCAATTCAATTATATTAAAAAATTTTCATAAAATTCTCGGCAGAATTACAATTATTTTCAAAAAATTTCCTCAATAGAATGATTTTTAATATCTAGTATTTTAATAACATTTTTCAAAAGAATTCAATTTTTTTTTTAAATTTAATAAAATTCTACGCAAACCTTTTAATTATTTTCATAAAATAATAAAAATTCTCCAGGAATTTAATTATTTTTATATTTTTACAGTTATTTAATTATTTTCGTAACTAATAAAATTTTTTTTAGAAATGCAATTATTTTCATAAGTTAATAAAACTCATTGCAGAATTTCAATTATTTTTAATACAATTTTAATCGAATTCCTCGAAAAATGTAATTTTCTTAAAATTTTTATTAAAATTCGTCAAAAGAATCTTATTATTTAAAAACTTATTAATTAAATTCTTTATAAAAATTCAGTTTTAAGAAACATGCAATTATTCAATATTTTTTTTTTGTATTGAAATAATTGAATTCTCGTAGAATTTTCCAGGGTGTCTAGCGAACCGGGAAATCGGGAAAAACCCGGGAATTTGGTTCGACCTCAAAAAACCGGGAAAAACCCGGGAATTTTCTATTTATAGGGTATTTTTTGAATTATGTATATAAAAAATTATAATTTTTTTCAAAGCGTAATATAATAACACGGTCACAGCTCAAATCGTCAAGGGTAAATTGATAGTATGAAGCAGTAGTAAAAATAATAACTTAAATTTTATTTAAAACTAACTTTAGTACACGTTATATTATAAAAGTTAAAGGATTTTTACTATTATTATTTTTATATAACAATTTATAGGTATGCAATACGTAACTAATAGTAAATAAAGTTTGGCTTCAATAAATATAAGAAATAATGATTTAAAAATTGCCTTACAATGTCAATTGTTTATAAGGAGGATCGTTTTGAAATGGAATGCCCCATATTTAGTTTTAAAAAGTAAAATCTTTGCCTTTCCTACACGGAAAGGAAATTATATTAAATTTTGTAAAAGTGCTTCTCAATTTAGGGAAACAGTGCACCAAACCGAAATTTTGGTTTAAAGAATACTAAACAGTGAAAGAAATAATTTGAAATTTAGTAAAGTTAGATTAAAATTCTTGATATTTGATATTATTATACTAAATTTCATATTATTCCTTTCACTGTTTGATATTTTTTATACAAAAATTTCGCCTTGTCGCATTTTTTCCCTAAATTGAGAAGCACTTTTACAAAATTTAATATAATTTTCTTTCCGTGTAGGAAAGGCAAAGATTTTACTTTTTAAAACTAAATATGGGGCATTCCATTTCAAAACGATCCTCCTTATAAACAATTGACATTATAAGGCAATTTTTAAATCATTATTTCTTATATTTATTGAAGCCAAACTTTATTTACTATTAGTGGTTTTAAAACAAAAATTTCTCAACTTTATAATGGTAGAAATTTTTTTTTTTAAATAATAGAATTTATGAAAAAATTAAGTTTGAAAGATAACCTTTTTGAATATCTCAAAACACGTCGCATCCGATTTTCTTGAAACTTATGTCAAAATAAAGCTTAAATATTCTAGTTTAATTCTATGTAAACATTATAATGAGCAATTCATGGTTTGAGAAATTAATTAAATTTTACAAGTATTTCAAAGGGTATAAAATGTATGTACCGAGCGGAATTTTTTTTTCAAATTTTTCCACACTCCAACCTCTGACATCTTTGTAAAATTTAATAAATTTCTTAAATTTCCCTGAATTGACAATTATATTATAAAGTTGAGAAATTTTCATAAGTGAAATTTTGATATTCTATGTCAAGTTTCTAGAAATTATTGTATAACTTTAATCATTGTAATTTAATAAAAACAATATTTAATTACGTAAATAATGTTATTGATAAACATTTAAATATGTTTTTAAATCCTTTGTGAATATCCGGGAAAATTATTCAAGAACCCGGGAAAAAACCGGGAATTTTAAATTGACGAATCGCTAGACACCCTGATTTTCTAATAAAAATTGATTTAAAAATGAATTTCAGTTAAAATTTTAGATAAAAATTGAATATTAAAAGCATTAGTCTGAATTTTTAGAAAAAATTTGGATTTTTGAAAAGGTTTTAAATCAAAATCATTGAAAATCTGAATTTTTCATATCTTTAACTAACAATTCTGTGGAATTATGAAAATTTACGAAAAACTTTTTCAAGAATTATTAAAAATAATGTATTTATAGAAGAATTTTAGTTTAAAAAATGTTACAAATTATTACAGAAATTCAATTATTTTCAAGAGTAATAGAATTCTGCATAGAAATATAATTATACGTTCAAAAATAATAAAATTCTTCTTAGGGATTCAATTATTTTTGCAAATAATAAAACTCATCGTAGAATTTCAATTATTTTTCATACAATTTTAATCGAATTTCTCGAAAAATATAATTATTTTTACAAATTTTATTAAAATTCGTCGATAGAATTCAAGGATTTAAAAATTTAGTGACAAAATTCTTTATGAGAATTCAATTTTAATAAACATGTCATTGAATTGTTTTTTGTATTTAAATAATTGAATTTCAAAAGCAATATAGCGTGATTTGGCTTCGTCCATAAATTACGTCACACTTTTTAGGGGGGAGGGGGTATATGAAAATGTGACTAATTTTGACAAAAGGGGGGGGGGGTTTATTTTGTTATGTCACACTTTATACTCTATTTATTATAATGAGAAAATTGTAATAAATAAAAATATCAAATATATTTCTCGCTTTTTAAAATATTAAAAAGTGTACTAATTATTATGAGGCATTTTACGTGAAATGTCCTAAGTTGAAATTTCAACTTATTGAAAAAAATTGAAACTCGGGGAATTTGTTGTTCTATCAAGTAGAAATGACCCAAAAAATATTTTTGACTTTTTCGAAAATTTGGAGCCAATTTTACGAATTTTGATAACACCGGCTACTTTGTGAATTTTTTCTGAACATACTTGTAATGTAAAAATTTTTTTAGAATATGTTTCTGAAAGGTTTTTTCGTCCTTTTTCCAATGATGAATTTTATTTTTTAATATTTTAAAAATTTACCCTAATTTTTGATAATTAATATTTAATTTTCAATTTCCCAAAAATCGGTCCGTTTTATTTAAAAATAAATTATTGCAAGTATGTTCAGAAAAAATTCACAAAGTAGGCGGTGTTAGAAAAATTGGTAAAATTGGCCTCCCTCTACCCCCCAAATTTTCAAAAAAAGTCAAATTTTTTAAAGGGGGGTTTACGAATTGTGACGTAATTTAGAGGGAGGGGGTTCCTTCAGATGTTACGTAGTGTGACAAAGGGGGAGAGGGGGTCAAAAATGGGCTAAAAACGTGTGACGTAATTTATGGACGAAGCCTTTTTACTTTTTATGAAGATATTTGAATATTTAGAAAAAATTTTATTAAAATTTTTGAAAATGAATTAAATTTGTTAAAAAATTTTATTATTCATGAAAATAATTGAAATCTTTTGAAAATTTTATTATTTATGAAAAAAATGAATCCTTGACAAGAATTTGTTTTAAAATTTAAAAAAAAATTAAATCCTCCGAAGAATTTTTTAATTAATCAAAATTATTGAAATCTTGCAAAGATTTTTATTTAAATTTTTAAATATAATATAATTGTTTGGATGAAAATTTAAATCCTTTGTAGAAATTTAATTAAGATACAATTGAAAATAATTGAATTCTTTTGGAAAATTTTATAACGATCGAATTAAGAAATAAATTGAATTCTTTTGTGAATTATTTATTGATAATAATTGAATTTTTGCAAAGATTATAGTATTTTAAAAAAATAATTGAATTGTTTCTAAGGATTTATTAAAGTTTTGTTGAAAATAATT